CCCTTGGTGGCAGCTGTGCACTGATGCTTAAAACAAGCCCCGCCTTGCAGCGTGGCCAGCAGAGGGCTCGGCGCACAGTGGGACGTGCTTGGGTCCTTAGTCCAGCGGCTAGATAGTGCCAAGGTTTTTTGGTTTGGCGTGGGGGCTTTTATTTTTTGTCTTCCTACTATAAAAGTGAAATTTGCAGTTCATTTCTGAAAAATAAATTGGTCAACAAATTCATTTTGTTCTGCTCCCACTTGACACAAAGCTTCACATTCAACCCGATACCTTTCTTTTTTTTTTTTTTTTTTTTTGAGACAGAGTCTCGCTTTGTTGCCTAGGCTAGAGTGCCGTGGCGTCAGATCTCACAGCAACCTCAAACTCCTGGGCTCAAGCGATCCTCCTGCCTCAGCCTCCCGAGTAGCTGGGACTACAGGCATGCGCCACCATGCCTGGCTCATTTTTTCTATATACATTAGTTGGCCAATTAATGTTTCAAGCATTTTTATTGTTAGTTTTTTATGAATTTAGCCAGTTTCCTTCCATCTCTCCATAACTAAAAGACTAATTTCCAGTTCTGGCTTTTCAGATAATGATGTTTAGGACGGAAAAGTTTGCTTTAAAAAAAAAAATTCAGAACGTGAGATTTAAAAAGTCGGCCTTGGGCACCTGCCTTTTTGCTGCTGTTGCTCAGAGTTGGGGCTGACAGCGCCCTGGCATCGGTGGGCTGGAGGCAGAAGCATCTAGGACTCGTGGGGGCCCTCGTCCTTCGGGGGTGGCCAGAGGCCACCAGGGTGGATCGGGCGGCGGGGCCGGGGCTGCACTTGCACCTGAGTCGCACGGCTGCAGGTGCGCCTGCTCCGCTACGTAGACTGACAGTCCGTGTCCAGGCAATTTCAGACTGAAACTTTATTCTTTCGATATAATTATTTCAGTTTTTCTCTTATAGTATGATCAGTTGGAATTCTGCCATCTAGGGAACGACCCCCGTCACCATTTGGATGTGTTCCTTTCTGTTCTTGGGTGTGTTTATGTGCATAGGCACACACACATACGTAGTGTGTTTACCAGACCCCGACCACCCACATGCAGGGTCGCACCTGCCTGACCAGCGCGAGTGCCCGTCTCCCCGCACGCCGAGCGTGCCCCGGAGCGCCCGGAGGGGCCGGCCCTGGGCGAAGCGTTTCCCAGCACTGTCCTCGCCCTCCCCTGCCGCACACGGGCTGGCTGCCCGCGCCCTCCATCTTTGCGATTATAAATAACACGGTGGAGAGCGACACTTACGTGAATATTTTTCCGCGTGTATCATTTCTTTTGTTTATTGCTTTTTAATTTATTGTCTTTTTTTCAGTCCCAATATGATCTACAGGAATGTTTCTTCTGTTTAAATTCCTAACACAAAACAACTGGATCACAGAATATGAACGTGTTTTCACCCTGGTCTGTCGTTTGCCTTAAACCAGGAGAATGTGGGGAAGGCTGATTCGGAGCAAAGGCCTCCAGCGGGATGGGGGGACGTTCTCACAGCCCGCCCGGCTCTGCTCCTTGCAGGCCCAGCAGCCCGGCTGACGCGTGTCCCCTTGCAGGACTGGAAGGACCACCAGCAGGTATGCGGGCAGGCGGCAGCCGTCACCGTCCAGGCGGACGACGTCCACGTTGCTGAGAGCGTGATGGAGAAGGTGACCGTCTGAGGGCTGCCCGGCACTCTGCGAGCCGGGCCTCTACACTGCTGCGCGGCCGGCGCAGTCGAAGATCCCCCTGCGGACTTTGGGGGGACGCTGAGGAGAAGAGGTTGTGGGAAGGTGAAGACACTTGCTGGCCAAGTGGTTGACGAACTTGTAGTGAACTGTGCCCCAGGGAGTGGGCTCCTCCTCGGAACCCAGGGAGGGCCGATGGCTCCCTGAGGCCGCCCCTGCCCTCACGGTGCTTCTCATCCCGGGCTCACGAGTGTCTCGTCCTGCCCACGGGTGTGCCCTGCCCTGTGACGCGTGTACATACATGTGGTGTCTGTCAATAAAGTTGTAAATAAAGTCTCCCTGCCCCACAAGGACAGCCGATTCCAGCTCCAGCCCTGCGTCTCTACTCCGTGCACCCTGGCTGCAGGGGCAGGGCGGCCACACTCGGGAGCGGCGACACCTGCCTTTGCCACCAGCCCTCGACAGGGATCTTCTAAGCTCCAAGAGGAGGAGTTCTGGTTCCTTCTGTCCTTTAATATGAGATTGTTCCACAAGGACTTGGCGGCCACTCTGCGATGAGGCACGGCCCGGGCAGCGAGTGACCTGGGCAGGGGCTTCCACATGCAGGGTTCCCATCGGCGTCCCTGTTCCTTCCCGTTGCCAGATGCCAGGAGCTGGCTGGAGCGAGGGGAAGGCAGGCGCCTGTGGGGCTCAGCCAGTTGGTTTAGGCGTCCGGCTGGGCTGGCCCCGGAAACAGGACCAGCCTTCCCTGCTGCCCAGGAGTGCCACCGAAGGAGGAGTCACCGTGTTCTGGAAGCTTCCACGTGTTTCCAGCAATGCCCTCACTGCCCATGTTCTCTGCACTCAGGAGGTTCATGGCTGTACCTGCACTGGGGAGAGAAGGTGCAGATTCAGCTGGAGGTGACAGCGCCTGCCAGCGTTAGCGTAAACCTACAAACCTACAAACTGAACTGATGTGCTTTCTGTGAGGTATGAGACATGTCTGCCCTGTTCACACCACCTGCACCCCCACCGGGCCAGGAGCAGCCCCCTCCTGCCCTGTTCACACCACCTGCACCCCCACCGGGCCAGGGAGAGCCCCCTTCTGCCCTGTTCACACCACCTGCACCCCCACCATGCCAGGAGCAGCCCCCTCCTGCCCTGTTCACACCACCTGCACACCCACTGGGCCAGGGAGAGCCCCCTTCTGCCCTGTTCGCACCACCTGCACCCCTACCAGGCCAGGAGCAGCCCCCTCCTGCCCTGTTCACACCACCTGCACCCCCACTGGGTCAGGAAGAGCCCCCTTCTGCCCTGTTCGCACCACCTGCACACCCACTGGGCCAGGGAGAGCCCCCTCCTGCTCTGTTCGCACCACCTGCACACCCACCGGGCCAGGAAGAGCCCCCTTCTGCCCTGTTCACACCACCTGCACCCCCACTGGGCCAGGAGCAGCCCCCTCCTGCTCTGTTCACACCACCTGCACCCCCACTGGGCCAGCAGCCCCCTCCTGCCCTGTTCACACCACCTGCACCCCCACTGGGCCAGGGAGAGCCCCCTTCTGCCCTGTTCACACCACCTGCACACCCACCATGCCAGGAGCAGCCCCCTCCTGCCCTGTTCACACCACCTGCACCCCCACTGGGCCAGGAGCAGCCCCCTCCTGCCCTGTTCACACCACCTGCATACCCACCGGGCCAGGAACAGCCCCCTCCTGCCAGCGCCTGGGAAGGTTATCTCTGGCCTCTGGCTCCGGCTGGCGGAGCCTGGCCCTGCTCCCCAGAACCTGTGGTGGGAGCTGCTTTCACCTGCTCAGGTGAGCAAGTGCTGCACAGTCCCTGCCCCGCCATGCTGGGCCGCCCTGTGGCACTTGACCAGTGCCCGCTTCGTCTTCCTGCCCGTCCTGTGGGCCCAGTGCTGCTGCCCTGTCGCAGAAAGGAGGCGGGAAGAGCCCATGTACCTGGTGCAGATGCACCTGAGACGTCGTCCCTCCGGCCATTCGGGGGGCCTTCCGCTGAGACGCCACGTTGAGTGCAAGATGGACACAGCGACCACCCCTCGAGTGGCAGCAGGAACGGGCAGGGTGGCAGTGCTTCCTGGAATTGCAGGGCAACTGACTTCCCCTTTCCTTTGGGGTGGAAACCCAAGGACCACAAGTTTGCTGACGCCCAAAGTCTCCAAAGCTCCCTGTGTCTGAGCCTGGTGGGCTCTGAGGGTCTGTCCCTGAGACCCTGCGGTGTGTCGTGCCTCCCACAGCCTCTGTCCTGCCCGCGTGAGTCCTGGGCTCACCGCTTGTCTGCGGAGCTTTTCCTGTGGTCGGTGGGGGCTGGGCACGTTTGAGCTGCCCCTCCCCCCACTCCCATACTGGCCAGACTCTGCCCAGGGACTCGCAGGAGGCCTGGAATCCATGGTGACTCAGAGGGTTCCCTGAGGATAAGACGCCCTGAGGGGTGGCTGGGGGGCAGGCTGGTCAGGGGAGGCTTCCAGGAGGAGGCAGTGGCTGAGGCCATGAGCAGGAGTGCCACAACGCAAGAGGGGGTGCGGCAGCAGCACGTGGGGGCACTGGGCGGTGGCTCCCTCTCCAGGGAATATTTTAGCATGCTGATGTGCTGACGCTGAGAGCTCACAGCCCATCACTTCTCCATGACCAGGAGAGAACTTGGCACCTTGCACAGGGGTCTTCCTCACGGCTGCGGCGTCCCCGGTGCAGCAATGGGGAGCAGAGGGCCCCGCCCCGTTTCTCCCATGACCCTGGACTGGGAGAGAGCGTAGGTGCAGGCCAGGGTGGGCCGTCCCCGGACGGAGTGGCTCGGGGGCTGCCCCTTCCTCCGCCAGGTCAGGGCTGTGCTGTGGGCAGCTCCCTGCCCGCCCCAGTGCAAAGGCCTGAGCCAGGAGCACCCTCCCCGGAGGCCGTTTGATGGCCCCACCTGGCCCCCCAGGCCCCTCCATGGGGCTTCGTGCACCTTCTAGGGGCTGGCAGGGTGCTGGGCTCTGACCTCAAGGCAGCTTCCAGACGGTGGGCGCCCCAGCCCAGCTGGGTTTTGCAGGGTCAGCCGCGGCAGAGCTGGGAGCCCACTTTGGTCCCCCAGAGGTGGGCGGTGGCCTGCTCAGGCCTGGCCGCCGACCACCCACGGGTGGTGGCCTTCCCACTGGGACTGGGCAGCCCCACTAAACTCCCCCGCCCCCACCCCTAGGGCGAGCAAAGAGTCCCCTCCTTGCAGGACAGCTGTCCGCACTCTCCCCTTGTCCCGGGGGGAAACTGAGCCCAGGGCGGCCGTGGTTCCGCCTGTCTTGGCAGAGCTGGATGGGCCTCCCTGTCCTCCCACCTCACCCAAGGCCAGGAAGGGGCTCACTGCTGGCGGGCGGCAGGGGGGCCTGGGCCCTGGGCAGAAGCCCCTCCCCTCCACCCCCGGAGCCTTCGCAGCCGCTTAGTTGGGAATTTGTTTAATGAGACGTACAAAACCGCCCCTCCGCGGGCGGGGGCTCAGCAGCAGGCACGCAGGGCCTTGCGGAAGACGTTCCGGAACTCGGCGTTGAAGACGGTGTAGATGACGGGGTTGAGGGCGCTGTTGACGTAGCCCAGCCAGGTGACGGCGCTGACCAGCCGCGGGGGCACGGAGCAGGCGGGGCACAGCGCCCGCGTGATGTGCACCACGAAGAACGGCGTCCAGCACAGCAGGAAGGCCCCTGCGCGCGCGGGATGTGGGGTCAGGGCCCCTCCCGGCCATCCCGTCCCCTCCCCCCGCCCGCCGCGGCTCGGGAACCCACCGACCACCACCGGCAGGACCCTCATGGCCTTGCGCTCCCGGCCGGTGATCTTGGCACGCCTCTTCCTGCGGGACTGCGGCGGAGTCGCAGCGGCCGAGATGGAGTCGGGGCACCGGCAGTCGGGGGCGCAGGGCTCCTGGGGCAGGCCGGGCGTAGGGGACTGGCAGTCGGGGCCGCAGGATCCCTGGGGCAGGCCCGGCGTAGGGGACTGGCAGTCGGGGCCGCAGGGTCCCTGGGGCAGGCTGGGCGTAGGGGACTGGCAGTCGGGGCCGCAGGGTCCCTGGGGCAGGCTGGGCGTAGGGGACTGGCTGTCCGGGCCACAGGGTCCCTGGGGCAGGCCCGGCGCGGGGGCCGGGGGGCCCGGGCCGCTGGGCCTGCGGGGCGCCCGGCCATGCAGCTTGGCGCGACGGGCCACCTCCCAGCGCCGCAGGCCGCGGAAGGTGGCCCAGTACAGCAGCAGCATGAGCGGGCAGGGCAGGAAGAAGGAGCACAGGGACGAGTAGACCACGTAGTCGCGGTCCTCCAGGCGGCACACGGCGGGGTCGCGGCCGCGCACGTCGTTGAGGCCGCACAGCACGGGCGCCGCCACCGCCGCCGACAGCAGCCACGTGGCGCCGATGAGCAGCAGCTGCCGCCGGCCCCCGCCCTGGCGGTTGTAGCTTAGCGGCACGGCCACGGCCACGAACCTGCGGGGAGCGCAGACGGGGCGCCGGGCGGGAAGGGAGGGCGCGGTGAGGGGTGAGGGCGGCGCCGCCGGGAGGCGCACGGGGGAGGCGCGGCTGGGGGGGCGGGGCGGGCGCCCACCTGTCCACGCTGATGGCGCACAGGTTGAAGATGGAGGCGGTGCACAGCATCACGTCCATGGCCATGAGCGCGTCGCACAGGCCGGGGCTCAGCAGCCACGCGCCGCCCTGCACCTGGGCGGCCACACGGAGCGCAGCAAGGAGACACAAGACCGGCTCAGGTCTCCCCAGCCACCTCCGCTCAATGGTGCCCCCACTTTTGGGGAGCGGGAGCTGAGTGTCAGAGGGGAAGGGAGCCCACTGTGAGCCAGAGGCTCTTGGGGGGACAGAGCTGGGCCCCAGAGGCTGGGGGAGGGGCAGAGAAACACCACCTGGGCCTCAGGTCCCTTTTTGGTTAGAACTTGAGAAAGGCCTGGGGAAGGAAGAGCGGTGGGGTCGGGGACTGTTGTCAAGGGGGTCATGGGAGCCCCAGCAGGTGGGCAGGCACCTGCTGGGCCTGGAGGCTGCAGCAGAGGCAGCCTGCGTCCTTAAGCCCTGGCCCGGTTGGAGACGTTGGCTACTTTGCTCATCTGTGAGATGAGGGTGATGATACTATCCACAGCATAATTGTCTTGAGGATGAGTTACTTTACAAAACATGAAGACCCGGCACCATCCTAGCACAGGCTCAGGCGTGGGGACATAGCCCTCTCCAAGGGCAAAGGGGCAGACGGCCGCCCCCTCTAATCCCTTCCCTGATTTGGGACGATTAGGAGCTTAAGAGCCGTCACTGTGACGTCTGTCGGGCGTGCCCTTGCGTGCTGGCCTCTTCTGCCCCAGCCAGCCTGCCAGCACTCACCCCGTCCACCTTAGACACCAAGTCCCCCTCCCCCACAGTCCAGGACACCCGGTCCCCAGACCTGAGCTGCTTTTCTCTCACCCAATCTCAAACAGAGGGGTTGGCACCGCGGTGGACCCACCCCAGGGCCAGATCTGGTTGGTGGTGGAGGCTCCAGGGCTCCTGGGGCTCTGCCTCACCCCTCCCCTGGGGGGCTCTGTCCTCCTGACCAGGCCTCCCTCCCTCCCCTCCCCCCCAGTTGAGCTGTGTGTGGCTGGGTTTCCTATCCGTGGGGTGCCCAGTGTGCTGGAGAGAGTGGCCACCGTGTGCAGTGGTCTGTGTGTGTCCCTGCGGCCAGGGCTAAGCCTGTCTGTCCAGGTGGCTCCCCAGGGGGGTAGGCAGGGGCTAGGGAGGGGGGCGCAGGACTTGATGGGCAAAGTCTTGGGGTCCCTGGCTCGAAGGACAGAAGCATATCTGTGGTAGCAGATGCCAAGACGGGGGGAGTTGGGGGCGGACGGTCGCGCCGGGTTCTGGGCAGGGACAGGGACAGGGACAGGGAGGGGGAATGGGCCGGCCGGCGAGGAGGCGCGGGCGCCGGGGCCGGGGACGCAGCGCTCACCTCGGAGTAGACGAAGAGCGGTAGCACCAGGAGGGCGAGTAGGAGGTCGGCGGCCGCCAGGCTCAAGATAAAGTAGTTGGTGGGCGTCTGCAGGGCGCGCTCGGAGGCCACGCTCACGCACACCAGCGAGTTCCCCGCGAGCACCGCGCCGATGAGCAGCACGCTCCCCGCCAGCGCCGCCGCCGGCCCCGGGCCCGCGCCCGGCCCGCGCCCCGCCGCAGCCCGCCCGCATCCGCGGCGCTGCGGTTCCCCATGGCGCGCCCCCGCACGCGCCCCGCGGGCGCCGATCTCCGCGGGCTGGGCCGGCCGGCACCCCGGGACCCCGCCCCGCCCGGCCCGCCTCCCGCCGCCCCCGGGCCCCGCGGCGCTCCACCGTGCGCCCCGGATTTGCGCTCCTCGGACTTCCGCGCTGGGGGAGACGGGCAGGTAGGAAGATGCAACGGCCCGGAGGGATGGGAGTCAAGAGAGGTGGCTGGTGCCGCGCACGGTCGGTGGTGGTGGGGATGCCGCGTGGCTCTGCACCCCGAGAAGCACATAGAGATGGAGGCGCGGCCGGACCCAAAACCCAGGGGCTCCCGGGCACCGACGCCAGCGCCGCCCCGCCGGCCCCCTGCACGCGCCCCGAGTGGCGGCCACCTCCACGCGCACCGAGCAGCCCAGCCTCTGGTCGAGGCGGAGCCGGCGCTACTGCTCCACCCGGGCCTCTTTCCCGGGCCGTTCGAGGGGGACGTGCGGAAACCTCCCGCCCCGCAGCGACTTCGAGCTGCCGCCTCCCCGCGGACCCGCCTTGGCTCCGTGGGGCGACCCGGCCCAGGGCGCACGCCCCGAGTCAACCCCTGGGCAGACCCGGTTCGGGCCCTGCACCCCAGCCCTGCCCGGCGCCTCCGTCAACCCGCAGCTGCGGTCTGACCTGTCGCAGGGGGTGTCGCCCCATTCCCCTCCCAAGCTGGGCAGGCACCTCCCTCCTGGCTACCTACCGCCGTGGGTGCCCTCCTTGCCTGGGGTATAGACGGCCCTCCCGAGACTGCGTGGCACGGCCGGGGCGCCCTCCTGAGGGCTGTCCCTGCTGCCCGGCCCACCGTGGGCGCATCTCCCCTGGCTGCCCATGCAGAACCGTTGGAGCTCCACGGGCTCTGCTGGGAGCCGGCCCCCGCAGGGAGACCTGCTGTAAGAGGTGGCCAGAGAAGGGAGGGAGGACAGCCGGGGACATGGAAAGAAAGCACATGGAAGACGTAGTAGAGAGAGAATTTTCCTTACAGACTGAATAAAATCAGGTGACACATGGCCTGAGATATTTTCGCAGCCCTGTTAACAAAGGCCCTCAGGTGGGCGAAGGGCTGCACCCCTCCAGGGCGCCAGATGCACACCCCGCCCGGCATCTCCCTTCCTGGGCCTCAGCGGGCTCAGGAGGGGCCTGTAGCCCTGGATCCTGATTCCAAAGGTATCAGGGCAGGCCGGGCGCGGTGGCTCACGCCTGTCATCCCAGCACTCTGGGAAGCCGAGGCAGGAGGATCGGTTGAGCTCAGGAGTTTGAGACCACAGCGAAGCGAGACCCTCGCCTCAGTATATATAGAAAGAATTAGCCAAGGACAACTAAAAAATAAGAGAAAAAATTAGCCGGCAGGTGCGCATGCCTGTAGTCCAGCTACTTTGGGAGCTGAGGCAGGAGGATCGCTTGAGCCCAGGAGTCTGAGTGTTGCTGTGAGCCAGCTGACGCCACGGCACTCACTCTACCTGGCAACAGAGTGAGACTCTGTCTCAAAAAAAAAAAAAAAAAAGGCCGGCGCAGTGGCTCACGCCTGTAATTCCTATCTGGGAGGCCGAGGCGGGAGATTGCTCGAGTCAGGAGTTCGAAACAGCCTGAGCAACGAGCGAGACCCCGTCTTACTACAAATAGAAAGAAATTAATTGCCAACCTAAAAAATATATAGAAAAAATCAGCCGGGCATGGTGGCGCATGCCTGTAGTCCCAGCTACTCGGAGGCTGAGGCAGGAGATTGCTTAGACCCAGGAGATTGAAGTTGCTGTGAGCTAGGCTGACGCCACGGCACTCACTCTAGCCTGGGCAACAGAGTGAGACTCTGTCTCAAAAAAAAAAAGAGAGAGAAAACAAGGACTCAGGGATGACTCAACACGACGACACTCACAGTCGCGCTGCAAGGTGTGCAGGGGAAAGCCGTGTGCCAGAGGAGGGCGCAGAGAGGCCGCCAGCCGCCAGCTGCCTTCAACGTTGGCCCGAGCCCCTCCTCCTGGTGGCTGCGTGGGACAGGCAGCCCTTCCTCCCTGTGACTCAGCGAGCAAGAGAAAAGGGACCAGGGCAGCGGCAGTTTCTTCTCTCATAGGACAGAGGCTTGGCAGGACCGGGCGCCCAGCGGGGAGTCCAGCCCAGCCTCTGGCCTGCCTGGAATTCCCTTAAGTGGCCCCCAGGATGGGACTGCCACCATCAAGGCAGTGCAAAGCAAGCCCCGCCTGGAAGTGACGCGGGAGGTCCCACTCTCTGACGAGGATGTGAGGAGCTCTCGGTCAAACCGGAAAGAAGAGACACACCACTCTGCTCTGAAAAAAGCAAAGGTGCTATAATCCTAGCACTCTGGGAGGCCGAGGCCAGAGGATCGCTCGAGGTCAGGAGTTCGAAACCAGCCTGAGAAAGAGCGAGACCCCGTCTCTACTATAAATAGAAAGAAATTAATTGGCCAACTAAAAATATATAGAACAAATTAGCCAGGCATGGTGGCGCATGCCTGCAGTCCCAGCTACTTGGGAGGCTGAGGCAGGAGGATCACTTGAGCCCAGGAGTTTGAGGTTGCTGTGAGCTAGGCTGACGCCACGGCACTCACTCTAGCCTGGGCAACAGAGTGAGACTCTGTTTCAAAAAAAAAGAAAAGAAAAGAAAAGAAAAGGTCCTGAGCAGGCACGAGCCACAAAAGAGGGTCGATAGGCATGTGAGAGAAGTGTTGGCCATTATGAGCCACCATGAAAATCACAATAAAAATCACAGTGGCATGCCCCCGCCCACTAGAGTGGGGAAGCATCGTTGCACATGTGTGATTTGCAGAGATTTGCAGAGACTTCCCTCCAGCCAGCGGTCTGTCCTAACAGCATATTTGAGTTCATTTTTTAATGTGTAAGGTATGAGTTGAGGTCCTCTTTAAAATTTTTAAAAATTTTGGGGCCGGGCCGGGCGCGGTGGCTCACGCCTGTAATCCTAGCACTTTGGGAGGCTGAGGTGGGAGGATTGCTTGAGGCCAGGAGTTCAAGACCAGCCTGAGCAACATAGTGAGACCCCATCTCTACAAAAAATAATAATAGGCCGGGTGCGGTGGCTCATGCCTGTAATCCTAGCAATCTGGGAGGGCAAGGCAGGCAGATTGCTCACGGTCAGGAGTTCAAAACCAGCCTGAGCAAGAGTGAGACCCCGTCTCTACTAAAAATAGAAAGAATTTAATTGGCCAAATAAAAATATATAGGAAAAATTGGCCGATTATGGTGGTGCATGCCTGTAGTCCCAGCTACTTGGGAGGCTGAGACAGGAAGATCGCTTGAGCCCAGGACTTTTTATTTTTTTTGAGACAGAGTCTCGGTTTGTTGCCCAGGCTAGAGCGAGTGCCGTGGCGTCAGCCTAGCTCACAGCAACCTCAAACTGCTGGGCTCAAGGGATCCTCCTGCCTCGGCCTCCGGAGTAGCTGGGACTATAGGCATTCACCACCATGCCCAGCTAATTTTTTGTATATATATTAGTTGGTCAATTAATTTCTTTCTATTTATGGTAGAGACGGGGTCTCGCTCTTGCTCAGGCTGGTTTTTAACTCCTGACCGTGAGCAATCTGCCTGCCTCAGCCTCCCAGAGTGCTAGGATTACAGGCGTGAGCCACCGTGCCCAGCCAAGCCCAGGAGTTGGAGGTTGCTGTGAGCTAGGCTGACGCCACGGCACTCTAGCCCGGGCATGAAAGGAAGACTCTGTCTCAAAAAAACAAAACAAAAATAATAGAAAAATCAGCTGGTGTGGTGGTGCCCACCTGTAGACCCAGTCACTTAGGAGGCTGAGGCAGGAGGATCACTTGAGCCCAGGATTCGAGGCTGCAGTGAGCTGTGATCATGCCACTGCATGTCCCAGCTAGGGCTGGACAGAAGAGAGCCCTGTCTCAAAAAAAAAAAAAAAGCTGTGTTTTCACTTATTCACTAATAGTGTATAGAAATACAGTTTTTGTGTGTTGACCTTGTATCATTTGATGGCGCTAAACTCACTGTTAATTCAAGGATTTTTTTTTTTTTTTAGGTAGCTTCAGAAGTTCTACATAGACAATTATCTTGTTCATGAGTGGACAGATTTATTTCTTCCCTTTAACCTCAGCGGCCTCCCTCCCTCCTCCTTCCTTCAGTCCTTCCCTGCCCACATGTACGAGTGGGACTAGTGGCGACCTCTGCCGGCTGGTAGGAACAGACGTCTTGCTTTGTTCAGCCTTGTGGAGTGTTCAGCCCCGACTGAACGGAGGGTCCCGGTGGCGTTTCGTCAGGCGGGTCTTATGTGCTTCCAAGGAAGTCCTCCTTC